TTTGTCTGTCATTTGGCGCTCAAGACGTAAACTGAAAGGATAAATCTAGTCCATTAACTTCTAACAATAAAATCAAAGTATATTTTTTAAACCGTTGATGGTCATTCTTTCCAAAATGTGTGGGATTTACATTTTCGGATCTCGCCTGATTGGAATTCAGAAGGATTTAATCAGTGGGCTTTATGAAACGCCGTGTGGTATTCGTGGTTATCGGGCAGTGTGTTTTCTCTTATCAGAGTCCTGGTTGGTTTAAAATATTGTATGAAAGCACACAATACTTTTATGAGAAAGACTTTAAAAGATCAATGTAAAAAATTAATACACTGAGTGAACTAGCGGCCAAAACCTACTGTTTTCGATTATGGACCACCAAGAGATCTTTAACGTGCACAACTTTTTCGCCCTTATCCGAGTAGGCTGTGTGTTAGATCTCACATACCTGAAAACAAGGTCAAATGTAAAACTTTTTTAAAAGAAATTTTTTCAAAGTCTACTCGTATCGATTTGAGACCACTAAGTAGTCTTCAACGTGCGCAACTTGCAAACGGGCCCTCCCAGATTTTTCGTCCTTTTTCGAGAAGGCTAGGTGAAGATCTTTCCTACCAGAAGATCAGGGGTGTGGCTGAAAGACAGCAGTAAGGAGGAGCCAAAGAGTAGCAGTAGAAAGGCAGCAAAAAGAGTCAGGAGCCCAGAGGAGGGGGCAAATGAGGTGAGGCGGTAGGGGCAAAAAGTGGAGACGAAAGCAGACGATAGAACATTGGAGGAGAGCAGGAAAGGAGATGAAAGGAGACAATTTTAGAGATGACAATTTTTCCGTCCCTACCGGGATTCGAACCCGATACTTTTAAATGAGAGGCGAACACCTAGGCCACGAGAGCCCTCTTCCGTGTGTTTGAGTGGAATGATATTCTCAAATTCCAAAACGGAACACCATTTTTACTCAGCTAAATGTAGCCTTGTAGAAGTTGATCAGAAGAATCCGAGAGGAGAAGATGTTTTAGACATGAACAAAATACAAGTATGTGTAAACAGAAAAAAGAATCAGAAATAACCAAACAACAGCCTTGGGACAACGTGCTGAGGTTTATTGTACTGTTTAGTTGGCTCCTCCTGTATACATGCAGGGAACACACAGACATACTTTTACCAAACACAGACCAATTCGTGTCTGAATGATACAACAAAAAGAGAGTTAAGGTACATTTTTGTAAAG